AGTCAAGGTATGCATTCACCTTGAGAACTTCATCTTTGTTTCCAAATGCAATGACTTCAGTTTTTTCCTTGTTTAACTGAAGAAAGTTCTCACACATCCAACTGTTAATTTCATCAATGCATTGGCAGAGGGAGTCAATGGGGCTGTAGTCATTTGGAGATAAGGCTAGGTAAATCTGGGTATCATCAGCATAGCTGTGATAGGCAATTTGGTTCTTTCTCATTATTTGACTTAGTGGGAGCATATACAGGCTAAACAAGAGCGGTGCAAGAATTGAGCCTTGTGGGACTCCGCATGTCATGGACGTCCACTTAGACTTATGCTCTCCTATACTCACATAATAACCTCTCCCTTCTAAGTATGACCTGAACCGTTTGATTACCATCCCAGAAAGCCCGAAACTTGCTATTATAGACCGACCGTGAGCAACAGTAATTTTACATTGTATTTTCATTTACATTTAGTGTAAGTTTAAGTGGAATACAACAGTATTTAACAAACATATATTATAATACATAAAGTAACTAATTTATGTTCATATTTTAGCTGGGTTCTTGATGATCTTCTGTTCTTCGGTCCTCAGGTCTGGAACAGAAGGTATAGATGACAATAGATCAATATTGTATCAAATTTTCTTGTGTTAGAATATTATTTTATTTTAAATATAATTCTCTAATGACCAGTGGTGGACAGTAACGGAGTAGCTTTACTTCGTTAATTATCAAAGTGGGAAGTCATGCCCTCTGGGGGCATTTGGCCAGGGGTGTTTTTACACCACAGACAAGGTTTGAGAAGAAAAAAATCATTATGAAAATATAATTATATTTTCCTTAAAATGTTCTTCCTAACTTCAGGCCTTATTCTCATGTCATATATAACTGTGATGTTCTGCAAAACAACAAGCTTTAAAACACTTTTTTCTTACTGGTGAAAATCATGGTCAAATCTGTTTTCTCTCAGGTACATCGCAGTGTAAGCTTCACAGTGAACATTACTACATCACTCTCGTCAACGTAGTCCATACGAAACAACAAAACTATATCTTGACTCCATATAGTGGTTGTTTTGGGAAAATCCCAGGTATTTTGAGCAGTAGGATTATAAAATGTATGTGCTAATATAAAATTAAATTAAGTAGCCTATATAAAATTGCTAAATAAATCTATCTATCAGTACTTTTTTACTTAAGTACATAAAAAATCGAGTACTTTTGTACTTTCACTCGAGTAAAATTGAAAAAGGAGTACTTTTACTTTTACTGGAGTAATATTTTATTATACGTATCTGTACTTTTACTCAAGTACTTGATTTGTGTACTTCGTCCACCACTGAGTAGGACCATATAAAAAATTTGTCCAACAACCTGAGGAAAATAATCACTATATTAAGAGATTACTTTACATTTTGCTCTTGTCTTAGGTCTTGTCGTTTTCATTTTCTCTCTTCAAGTTGTAGCCTAATCTAGGAAAGAAGCAGCTTGAGACTCCACCTCCTAAATACAGTTTATGCAGAAAATGTTTCTGTTGCTGCTGTTGGTGGCAGGGTGGCTCAGTAGCACTGACTGTCGCCTCACAGCAAGAAGGTCTCCGTCTGTATGTGTAGTTTGCGTGTTTATGAAACTCCACCTGGTCCCGCGGTTACTCTCACATGACATGCAGGACAAGTGAACTGTGTGTGTGTGTGTGTGTGTGTTATGGTGTATTTACTGCAGCGGAAGAAATCTGCTCAGTGCCGCTGAAACATCCTTGTGTTTGTTGCGAGTGTCAGTAATCTTTGTGGTTTCCAACAGACGGCGAATATAATCAACTGCAATGAGTCCAATGTGTAAACAATACGATTTACTGTTTACAGCACTTTACTGTGTTTTCCTCTGAGAAAAAAATCTTTCGACGCTCCATCATCCCCGTGACTCTACAAGAGGTTTGGAAAATGGATGGATGGAGGTTTCTGAAACTTCACACTATCTGGGTTGTGTAGCTTGTAGCCTATACAGTATGCAGCAATATGACTCTTTTTTATAACACTGGTCACATCCGCTGTTCTGATTAAATGTCATAAAATAGCAAACACATGAATGAGCTGGCAGAGACTTTTGATAATGTTTTATGATGAATAATGTCAGCTTATATTTACACACATGCACCTAGTAATTACAGTAAAAAAATGTGTTTAACATTACAATATTAAATACAATATAATCTCTAATGTTAGTATCTGTGACGTGTCGGTTATAACAGAATTTCTAACTCTTGTAAAAACAATGAAAAAATACAGTTGTGCACTTATAAAGGAAGCTTATGAGTTGTCACAAATAAATGCTGAAATATGAAACTGTCACACTGTTTTAAAAGTGTATCTTTGGATATTATAAATTATATTCAGAAAGTAAATAAGGAGCTCCAAAAATGCTCTGTTGTAAAAATGCAACTGATTTCTTTAAGGGGCTAGAAATTGCCTCTAAAATAGTTCACTGAAGATGCGGAAGGACATGGATTGTAGCTTGGTGGAGGTTCAGAAAGACCTGGTTCGTAACTTAGTGGGTGTGCAGAAGAACTTGGATCATAGTTTGGTGGAGGTGCAGAAGGATACTGATTGCATTTTGGTGAAGGTGCAGAACAACTTGGATCGTCGTTTGGAGGTGTTGCTAAAGGACTTGGGTTGTAGTTTGCTAGAGGTGCAGAACGACACAGATCGTATTTCGGTGGAGGTTCTAAACGACTTGGGTCATAGATTGGCGGAGGTGCAAAAGGGCCTTGTTGGCCCTGAAGCACAATATTGTTGTCAGTCCTGTAAGGCACATCTCTGTTTATGTAACTGACTGCAACATGCCTTGACTGAGAGAGAGAAAGATAGAGACTGAGAACACAACAAAAATAGAACATCATTATTGTGTTGCATTCATTATTGCATGTAAATCTAAAGGGGATGTAGTGACACCTAGTGCCAGTTAATTAACCAAACAGACTGGATATGCAGATGAGGTTGTTTGTGTCAAAATGCAGTTAAATAATCATAAGAATAAGTGGCTCTTTCTGTGTCCATGAAAGTACTAATATGTAAATCTAATATACATTTCCCTTAAAAATATTCTGCATTTCCACATTTAGAAATAAATGATTCTAAATGATGACTGTGGTTAACTTGATATATACAGTAATTCATTTTGAAAGAAAAACCTTTTATATCATTGTTGTTTGAATCAGTATAAAACAATCATTAAATGTAACTCTTTTTATGTCAGACTGCTTTTTGTGAGTTTTTATGAGTATTTGTGAGCTTGAACAGATGTCTTTCAAAAGAAGACCTAAGGCTGACATTGCTGACATTTCAAAAGTAAATTTTTCAGTTTTTCAGTTTAAAGATAAAAGATTTTTGAACTTCATCTTTTTACCTTCATCCTGCAGCAGTCACAGGAAGACGAGGCAACAATAACAGAGATGATGAAGACCAGAACATCACAGAAAACCAAGAGAATTAGAGTCACACCCTGAGTGAGTATACAGACAGGACGATTACAACTAAAATGCATTCTATTATTACTTATAAATATGTCTCTTTAAGAAACTGTCAGAAATGGCACATGATTGATATAAATGTTATAAAGGTCTAGTGTAGAGCTTAAATAGGCTACAATTAAAACAACATTGATAATATTGATATTAGCTCTTTGTCTGGTAAAAAAAAAGTCTGGTTAGATTGTAAGTTGTTTTAATTTTGTAAGAATGAAAGCATGAACATCTATTCAGACACTTACATCACTGTCAAGACAGTGAAATGGGATGGAGACAGCAGCTGCTATGGCATTGAAACAGTTTAGAAATTGTGAGATTCTGACCTGAAATGGGGAAAATGGAAAAAATGTAATGTAGTCTAATGAAATGTTAAATAATTTTTATTACATATTCAGACTAACCCAACATGTGTTACGTGTACATGCAGCTGACACCGTCACAGATCCAGTTAAAATCGACTACAGTGAACATAATGAATATTGTTCAGTATATGTTCATTGCACAATGTTGTTATAGTGTTGAAATAAAATGCTTACAATTAAACATGACCAGAGGAGATATAAAAATCCTGTCCAGATTGTTAAGATTAACATCGCTATACCTATTGATATTTCCAAAACCTGTAAGATATAAAACAAGACAGTATCTGTTTCTTCATTTCCCCTCAAATCAAAATGAAAAATTTAAATGGAACAGTTTTACCCCCAGAATCTTTGGCGTGATCTTCAGGAATTTAGACACTGCACGCTGGTCAAAAGGTGATGCTGACTGCTGCAAAAAGCTGGTTACATCTTCATGTCTAGGCATCTTTAAATACACTGAGAGAAACGTGTGTCGACATGGAAATTGTAAGAAACTTAAGTTCCGAATCTGATGCACTTAATGTTTTCGGTTACAAACGAATGTACTTTGCAAATATATTAATATCAGTTCTAATTTATTGACCTTACAGACGTTAAAAGCATGCTTTTCTCTTTACTGTCAACCAAGAGGAAGAGGAACCAAATGTCACTGTGCACATTCCCAAAGCTGAAAATCAGGATTTACTAGAAGAGTTGCTCAGACGACACATCACAAGGTAATCAAACAGTGTTGGCAAAGACAGCTGATTTAGATTTCATTTGTAGATCTTTTTTTCAACAGAACTTAAAAGTGCAACTTCAAGATAATGGCACAGGAGACGCCACTATTTTCTGGTGGTCCATACAGAGTTTGGAAAGAACATGTTCACTTGATCTTGCCGGTCACAACACGTAAGATCTGCATGAACTTACAAATTTCCAACTACACAGTATATTTTTGCAATAACCACAGTGAGTACACAATGAACAAATAAAAAGGATTTATGTAAACTGGTATTTTGTTGTAGCTGCTTATTCCAGGTTTTACTTAACCCACAAACACAGAGAGATGGATGATAAATGTGCAGAATACTTACACTAAGTATCATTTTTTCAGCCGCCAACTTAAAATCCATTCAGATTAGTAGTATGTGTTAGTAGCATTTTAATTTTGTTTTTCCTAGTAAGAAGTCGTCTTTCTGCTCACAAGCAATGTCTCCACCTCCACAAAATATGAAGAGAATTATTCTCAAACGTCACACTGATGTAAACACTGGGTGAATTCTGGTTATACAGATAGGATTTTAAAGGATAGGAACAAAAACGTTCGAAATATTGGACGTTTTTTAAGAGACTTGCTGATGTTGGGGCATTTTGAGTCAAAAGGGTCAACTCAAAAAAGTTAGTATGGCATATTATGCAATCAAGGAAGCAAATGATCATTTGTATCGCTGTCCAACTACGGTGTCAGAATGGCCAGGTGGTTAAGGTGCCAGACTTAACATCTTATGTTGAGATTTCTGGAGATGTGGGTTGGGTTCAAATCAATTCCCACTTCTGACAAGTGTTTTGGATTGACAGGACTAGAGGTCCCAGCTTCAGTATCAGAATAAGTGATTAATAAACAAGTAAGTGATAAATAAGTGATTCAATATCAAAATGTAAATGCAGTTTTAAACATCAAGAATAGTTTGCTTGTTAAAATACAATACAGGGAACCTAATTTAAATGTCTTTACTTATATTATAATAATCATCATATATAATTAAATAGTTAAATGTTGGAATAAAAACACAGAATAATGTCATGTGAAATTATGTAAAAAAAAGACCTTCATCCAACTACTGTAGCCCAGATGAAAGGAAAATACATGCAGAGAACTTCTCAACCACTAGGAGGAGATGCAGTACAAGGATAGAATTTGTTCAGCAATTAGCATTATTGTGTTCTCAGCTTGGCATCGATTACCTGAAGTATCTGGTGAAAAACGAATAATAATTAAAATAATTAAATAAATAATCCAGTCGATATCAGCCATAATGTGAAACAAAGAAATTAAAATTTTATTTAAAAGATTAAAATATTTAAAAAGTACAATCTGTCTTTTTCAGATGTCTTTTTGTTTTTTTATGTCTTTTTCAAAGCCTTTGTCAGAATCAGTGGTATTAGTAGTCATGCATAGTTGTGCCTAGAAGATTTTTAAATAAAACAAAATTATTTTATCTATTACTCCGTCAATAACAATAAATAAAGAAATAAGTTGTGATATAGTTTGGGACAAGAACACATTTGCATTTGAGCGTTGTTTTGTTTCAGTCCTCATTTGCCACAACAAAGGACCTTTTTAGAAAAAAACTGTTGACAAAAAGAAATAGTGACCAGTTACAGCTGCGATATGCAATATGATGGACCTTCATTAGGCATTAAAAAAATTATTCAGTGTGGATCGAAAGTAAAATTGAATGATGATACAACAGAAAATATTGGCATCAATTACAAAACTACAATATATGATACGTTTAGGGTCTGCAAACAGTTTGTGGAAAGAGAAACCCTGAGTTACAGCACCTAATACACACACACACACACACACACACACACACACACACACACATAAATAAATAAATATTTCCTTATAAGTAACAATATGTGTTATTTGCCATCCGCTCTATTGCTATTATTGAAGACCAGGGCCTGCAAATACTTGCAGGACTAGCAACTACTTGGATGAAATTTAAATAACGACGATCTGATTAGCATAATGTGTATATATATATATATATATTATATTCACACACACACACACACACACACACACACACAATAATAATTATTTATACACTTTCTATATTACGTCTCTGGGTTTGCTAGGAGTCAAGGTAGTGGTCAAGTCTGTAAAGGTTAACGACCCCTGCTGTACAACCAATCTCTGCTGTTGAGAAGTTGGATAGTTTTGACATCCCTTTTTGTTTACTTTTAACTCTCTCATTGTACAACACATTAGGCCTAAAATCAAAACTTTCGGTGTTCCACACGCTCATCCTCACCGCGAGATCTCTTTTCCCTAGTGAATTTTGCAGGCCAACCAATAGTCAATCAAATCTTCCGCGCTTCATTAATATTCAAATACAAGCGTCGTTCCGACGATGTGATTGGCTAGAAAAAAAGCCGGTCGCCTGAGAGTGAGCGGATGAAATCACCTGTCAATCTCCAAAAGGGCGGGATTTGCCAAGCCCCGATATATGTAAAAATACCATTCACACACTCAGTGGCTGTGACACGAGCGAAGGGGCTTTTCGAAATATCATATTCAAATCAGTCTCCGGCGAGGGACGGAAGAAGTGCACAGTTTGAACAAATGGAGGAAGATAGCACTGAACAGATAAAACCCCTCCTAACCACAGTAAGCATAAAGTTATTTGTTGCTGTCTCTTCAGATTTGAGTGGTTGCGGGAGCGTTTCTGCGCGCGTTAATTTTAAAGAAAAGAAAGGGACGGGGATGAGGGAAATGGATGCGGACTGGTTTAAAGCATCACTTCCTTTGGGTTGTTAACGACCCAAGAGCTTCCACATGGTTATAGTGGACTTGATAGGGGTTTGTTTTGAGGTTGTATTGCTGTGGAAATGTGCTTTCATTGTTTTGGGGTGGCCACGCTTCTGCCAGGAAGTGTCGTTCTATCATTGCGTCACAATAACGGTGAAAGACGAGCGCAGTAGACTGTGAATCCCTCTCTCTCTATGGCACGAAACACACTTTATAACTTTTATTTTATGTTTTTATTGTCTTTCCTCACCAGAATATTCTGTTTTGATACAATTTTGAGAAAATATATGAGCATTAAAGCAAGAGTTTGGTGTTTATTCTGTCTTTATGTATTTAGTTTTTTGCTTACATGATTTGCTATTTAAAAATAGAAATGTGTCCACAGTTTTTATGTTACCATTTTTAAAATGACTTTCTGATCTATAAATAATAAAAAAAAAATGTCATAACATCCTCTCAGGATATAAACACTTGACATTGAAGTCCACTCATTTTTATCACTTTGTCAGTGGGAGACCAAAATATCAACCTAGTTAACATGAATTTGTGTAGTAAACAATTGATGATACTTTCTCTCTCTCTGGCTATTATTATTTACATAAGTATGTATAAGTAAGTGCCCTTTCCTCTGTCCCTCTCTTTCAGTCCTCAGAAGCTTAATTTCCATGTAGTCATAATGTCTTAAAGGCACAATATGTAAGATTTTTTTATTAAAATATCCAAAAACCACTAGAACAGTGTTATATATTTTGCTGACTTGTGTACTTGCATTATCCCAAATGTTTCGAAGAATGTTTAAATCCAGAGAAATAAGCAATTTTAACTAGTGACACGGACCGTGTCCATAGTGTCATTGTGTCGCCTGCCAATGACGTCATAATCCCTCGATTTCCGGTTTTGTTTTGTAGAAAACATGGAAACACCAAAGACGCTTTAATATGTTGTGCGTTTTAATAGACCGGTGACGACCGCACAGAGTAACAGTGTTTCAAAACAGTCAATCCACAGTCAAATGCACACGGCCTGCATAAAGTAGCTGTGATTTTTCGCGAACCGTTGTGACTTCCATAAAAAGGTGACGTCAGAACTACTCAGTCACCACCCCGAGCACTGCCCACAGTCCCACTCTCCTTTTACCAAACCCCCAGACAACATCACGTCCATGCCATTGCTGAGCAACAACAACACGGAAACATGTTGAGAAAACGCTGTTCAGTCTGGATGTCAGGAAACTACATCATTGCACAGTAGGGCTGTGACGGTTGCCGTGACAACCGCTGTGTATTGCCACCAGCGGTAGTGCACGTGATGTCACAAACTATAACAAGCATAATACAAAGTTTTGTATACAAGTGTAATAATAGTAACAGTTGCAAATTGTTTTATTTAGACTATAAGTCTATGCTAATTCACAAATTACCTCAAATGCCATACACGCCGTTTGATCCTTTAGATTGGCAGGTTTGAACGCAGGAAAATACAGTACAGAATACAGAAACCAAATACTACATCGCCAATCTGGAATCATTTCCATTCATGCCACCCATCCGCATTTGTACAAGTGTCTTCAAGTTCACATGATTGCAAACGCTCGGTTGGTCAGGTTTGTATTTACTGCATTCGGTGTTTGAAAAAAAAAAAAACATGATTTACCATTCTGAAACATCCTGTTGTAAGCATGTTGGAGGAGGTGGTTGGTTGTCTCCTGTCGTCGCCGATTTCGGGGTCTGAGTTTGGCTCAAACATGTAAGGCCGGACAACATTTCCCTCAGCAGTGACCATCATTACCGGTGTTTCTATTGACCTTACTTGTGAGTATCACCAAGCCACAGCAGGCTACAGCATACATGACCCTAGTTACCTGTGGTTGGCCTGGCCGTGCGTCACTCAGAAAACAACAGGCCAATCAGAAGAGAGGCTCA